CACTCTTCGTCCCGTATTGAGGCATCCATTAATGAAAGAATGAAGCCCTTACATACAAATACCGGATCGCTAAATAGCGATCCGGTATTTGACAGCTGCAGAGAGGTAGCAGAGTGAGTGACCTCTCTGCTATTCGTTTTGACTTCTCCATAGACTGGCCCCGATGTCTACAAAGCTGTGTGATACATTTCAGGCACAGGAATGTTACAATGTATCTCTGTGCCTGAAATGTATCACTTCTGATCGTCTGAGCAGGATCAGGAACCTTTAGTGAGATCTGAATCTGACATGCTGTCAGGATCAGTCTCTAAGGTTATTATGAGCTGTTCCTAAGTTAGGAGCGGCCTAATAATAACCAAAAATTAAAAAAAAGTTAATTTATCAAACAGTCATTGTGACCGATATAAACTGACAAAAAGTAAAAAGTGTAAAAAAAAATTAAGAAAATTAAAATTATATATAAATATATTTTTTATAGTATAATTATTATCAAATAATATTTCTAAAAAATAATAATAATCTAAACTTGTGAAAAAAGTGTTTTCTTGACTGAGGTGGAAGAATCCCACAGCAACAATGTAACAAGTGTGTCAGTCATTAAAGGAGAACACATTTAAAGGAATGACAGGGATTTGTTCTTTTCTTATAATGCTCAGGAACGGCAGTACAGTGATTTAAAGGAGAAGTATGGGGTCAGGGCTTTCCCCCATAGTTCTCCTTAGGGTCGGGGGAGGGCACAAACTAGCGTCCTCCCGTCACCCTAGGCTCAGTATATAGGGAGCTACAGCTCGCGGTATACTGAGACGCCGCAGCCGGAGCGGATCCCGACAATTATGCCGGGATCCGCCCCAGCTGCGTGACTGACAGCTGGCTCCTCCTATCTAGAGGCAGAGCCAGCTGTACCCGCCCCCTCCCCCGTCCGTTCCGCCAGTCAGCGCTGGAGGATCGGAGCGGTGAGAATCCAGTCCCTCCCCTGTCACGGCAGAGAGCCATGACAGGATCGAGAAGTGAGCGAATGCCGGTATGTGTTCCCTCACCTCCCGATCTACTGAGCCGACCTTTTACAGTCTCATTGTCACAGGTCGGCTAGAACTATGAGGCTGAGTGAAAAGCCCCCCCCCCTCATAGTTCTCCTTTAATGAACAGAAACTGAAGATAAGCTGAGGTCATGAAGGGGTTAAAAGCTCCTACACCGGTCTTTTAACCATTTCCCCCCCCCAAAAGTGCAGCACCTCCCCCGTTCAGATGCAGCCCGTCCCTGCTGAAGAGCCGGTAACCGACTGAGAAGTCAGCCCAGTTCTCCAGGAACCCAAAGCCCTCCTTCCGACACCGGTTCCGGGGCCACTTGTTCAGATCTCAGATTTGTTATTGGACACAAAGAAAGAAACAACGAATCTCTTCTGATTATCTGACGTCATTTTATTGGAGATTTGTATCGTTATTGATGATCTCTTTGTAACAATTCTCGGAGAGATCCGCTCAGCAGAGATACGAAGGTTCCGCGGGAGGATTCGCTGCGTCCGATAAGATTGTAATCGCGGGAAACGTGTCGCCGCCTCCGCCGGGGGAGACAACACGGGGACATGAAAAGATGGAGGAGAGGAATGGAAGGCGGACGCTTCCGTCACCGCACAACAGCTGGACTCCGATTGGCTGCCGAGGGCAACGCAGAACGTCTCACTACAGTTCCTGCAGAATGATCGTCACCCAACAATGACTTGTAATCAATATCGATTCATCAATATACAATAAATAGAACTCCACTCTTCAATCAATTAAAAAAAAATAGTAAATTCTATTGGTCAGTACCTTCGCGGCGCCAGGAGGGGGCGCCGACGCGACAGATATTTTTTCTGCATGTTTGATGGGACTAGTAATGTGAATTCCCGAATTCCCGTCACGTGTCCCATCCCCCGCTACATCATTTCTGCGCATTAAGACTATCAGACGGGAATGAAGATTATCGTGAAGATATTCGTTCTGATTTCCGGCGCTCACATCAGATCTGCTCCGTTTTGTGGCGCGTCGGTACGCTAGCGGCGTCCGCTTTCCTCAACGCCCATTTTTATTTGTACTCTTTTTTTAGCATAATGAGTTATAAGTGCAACATTTTATATAGGGGTAAAAACATGACAGAAACGTAAACGCCCC